AAAAAAAAAAAAAAAAAAAAAAAAAGCCAAAATACTTATTATTTATGTTCTGAAGCAAAGCATCTGAAAGATGACAGGTTTCTTGGCTTAGATTATGGCTATCAGCATTACAGTGCATGAAACAAAATACAATTGATCTTAAAACTGATAGGCTACTTTTTAGAAATCTAGATGTGATCTAGATCATTGTACTCACTGAATACAATGGGGGAGGGGTGCAGATAAAAATGGATCCCAGGGTCAAACAATTAAGAACACAATGTACTTTTTCCCTGTTCTAAGGCATATTTTTAGAAACCATGTTTATAAATAACAATCTATTGAGTGATAAAACTTACCTGAACCAAAAATATAATAAGAAAATAAAAATTTGCCACTCTTCTGAATTGTTCAAATAAATTTTTTGGAACAAAATTCCACACAGTATACTAAAAAAAAAAACAACAACAAAAAAGGAGAGATCAATAAATTAATATTTAAAAATATATGCTATATAGATGTAATAATATGAAAAGTAAATCAGATTTTCTAAGCCTTAGACAAATTCATGTAACCCTTAATGCTACAGAAACTATATATTTGATTTCTAGAGTTCTGGACTTTTATTATACTTTCCTATTTTCTTTCTTTTACTATTTCTTGGCAATTTTAATATAATTTTAAAAAAGAGATAAACTGGAACCTATCAATTTTGCTATTAAATTCATGATTTTTTTTAGAAACTGGAGAAGGCAGATATAAAACAACATTTTGATAACTGATTTTGGACTTTGGTTATACAAAACTAAATCAAATGTTAAAGATGAATAAGAGTTGATAAAAATGCTGACACTAGATATTTTATATTTTATTTAGTTGTGTCAGAAACAGGATGGTCTAATTATTCAATTATTCTTTGCTTAGTATAGAATATGGAAAAATAACTTAGAATATTAAAGAAAAATGTTTTAGATAAGAGATCACTGGGATAACCATCAAGGAAATTTCATACAGGACATGAAAATCTGCTACAAAGTCAATTTTAAAAGGTAAGAATAGAGTATAACGGTCAAGAGCATAGATACTTGGGGATTAAACTGCTGTAGCCCAAATCTTAATTGTAATACTGGCTAAAGGACCTTGGACTTAATCTCTCAGTGCCCTAGTTTGTTCCTCTACAAAATAAGGATAATGATAATCATATATTGTAGGGTTTTTATAAACATTAAATGTGCTAATATATTTGGGCAGCACTTAGGAAACCTGGCTCATACTAATTGCTATATAAGTTTTTGTTATTATTCATCAGTTCATAAGCCTATAATGGTATATTACAGGGGCATAGTAACACACTACAAATTGTATTTGTATCAAGACTCACAACATAACTCTATATATGAAATGGGGAAACAGTTTATAGAACTTTTACTTTACCTTATGTATGTTCTCCCAGTAGAATATAAGATTCCTGAGGCTGGGGACATTGTTTTATTTACTGCTCTATCTCTAGCACTTATACTACTATTTGGCGCAGAGTTGGAGATCAAAAATTTTGCAGAATACATGAATGAATAAATAAACATGGTTGAAAATTTTTTTATTTTATTTTTTAATTGTACAAATTTATTGGGTACAGAGTAGTATTTCGATACCTGTATACAATGTGTGATGATCAAATCAGGCTAGTTAGCATATCCTTCATTGCAAACATTTATCATTTCTTTGTGATGAGAAAACTTGAACTTTCTTCTAGCTATTTGAAATATATAATAAATTATTGCTAATTATAGACATCTAGCACTACTATCAAATTGAAATGTTTTTTTTTCTGAGATAAATATCCTGATGTCAGGCAATAAAGCCTTAATGGTTATTGACCAATTCAAGATTTTTAAAGAGGCGGTTTACCTAATTTTCTCTTCTCTGGTGCAATGTAAGATGGTTCTTTTTTTTGAATTTTCACGTGTCAAAAGTTTACATCTTTTGGGCCGGCCTGGTGGCGCACTGGATAGTGTGCCGCTTGGGAAGCGCGGCGGCGCTCCCGTCCGAGGGTTCGGATCCCACATACAGACCGGCTCCCGCTCACTGGCTGAGCGAGGCGCGGGAGCAACGCCGAGGCTTGCGATCCCGTTGCCGGTCCCCGGTCCGGTACGGGGGCAACACTGAGGGTTGCGATCCGTTGCCGGACACGGAAAAAAGGACAAAAAAAAAAAAAAGTTTACATCTTTTTTTCTTTTTGGTGGCTGGCCTGTGCAGGGATCCGAACCCGTGATCTTGGTGCTACAAGGCTGTATTCTAACCAGCTGAGGGAATGGGCCAGCCAAAAGTTCACATCTTTATCAGTTGTTTGAGACCTGAAACATCTTTTCCCATATGAACAATTTTGTAAATAGAGTTAGGTTTCCAGAAGAGCCCACAAAAGCCTATTTGACCCAAGGGTATATAAACACTAGTACAATATCTAATGACCTTTTATTCTTAGGTAAAATTACATTTTCAATTCTAATCTGGGACACATGAAACATATTTTCCTTTGGTAGTGGCAGCACCAGTGGCTCCAGAATCTGGGAATGGGAATTTTATGTTTAGGACTCTAGAAAGAAGAGAGGTAGATATTTCCTGGAACAAAAAGAAGTTACTGTTCAATGTGTACATATGGGATGGTTACTCTGGGTCAAGTCATCTTCTCCTGGTGATCTTAATTCGAGTGAAAAGGCAGTTGTCCCTATAGGGGTCAGAACATCTCCACGTAACTTGCTCAGTCACCAAATCAAATGGATAAAACTTTATAAGAATTAAGTTGGCATTGTCCTAAGTTTACACGAAGCTATTTAAATCATAAAAGTGACAATACATTTTGTCTTTCAGAATCTTGAGGAGAGCAACTATACAAACTGGCAGTAAGGTAATTGGCTTCTGGGTGTTTTTTTGTTTTGGCTAGCTCAATAACACAAGGAAAAACACAGAACAAATTAAAATTTATTATGAAAACTAGCTTACAAATGGTAAGAACTGCTGTTTCCAGGTTTTCTGAAATACAAACATGTTGAAAGATTGAATGAGTCTAAATTCTTTGCTTGTCCTAATATATAGAAAGGAGGGACTCTAGTAGCATAATATTAAGCAACATAAAAATACTTCTAAGAAAAATAATAATTTATTATGCTTTAAAGTTCTCTTAATTATAATGTAATAATGGTTACAATAAATGAATTACAAGTATAACGTCTTTATAGTTAAGTATGGCTGTATAATTGACCTTTTTTCCCTCTTAAGTAAGAAAACCAAAATATGGATATAAAATTAAAAAAAAATTTTTTTTTCTCTTTTTTTCGTGACCGGCAACGGATTGCAACCCTCAGTGTCACGCCCGTACCGGACCGGGACCGGCAACGGGATCGCAACCCTCGGTGTTGCCCCTGCACCTTGCTCAGCCAGTGAGTGGCAGGTCTGTATGTGGGATCCGAACCCTTGGCGGGAGCGCCGCCACACTTCCCAAGCGGCGCACTATAGCAGTGCGCCACCGGGCCAGCCCTAAAATTAAAAATTTTGTAAGGAAGTTTAAGCCTAAGGTGGTTTCTATGGTCAGTTAAATTAAACAAAAACATATTATGCATCTACAACATGTAAGACACCTGCACTACATAGGAGAAACAAAGATAAGATAATATTAAAATAAAGACTAAGAACAAAATATCAACAGCTATATTTAAAGATAAAGAATGGCTGGCTGGTTAGCTCAGTTGGTTAGAGCATGGAGTTATAACACCAAGGTCAAGGGTTTGGATTCCCATGCCAGCCAGCCACCAAAAAAAAAAAAAAAAAAGGTAAATGAAAAAATATACAAATAATTCAAAGGAAAAACAGCCAGTGAGAAAAAAATTTAATGACAGAGGTCATATTTGACATGGGCTTAAAAGAGGAACATTCAACAGGCTGAAAATCAAGGGTAAATGAGGGAGAACATTTCAGGAAGACAGTACAGCATGAGCAAAGGGACAGGAGAGGGATGTTCATCATGGCTTTGTGGGACAGAAGACAGAGCAGTCTGAAAGAAGCTTAAGGGATTAATAGGGAAGTAAAAAGAGAGTAACAAGATGCTCACGAAGAAAGCGATTATATCTATATAAATATTTAAATTCTTTAAACTATGGTCAAAGACATAAGTTCTACATTTCTACAAAAAAATGAAACCTATAATCTCCACATTTTAAAAATTGTGGTTAACAGCATGAAATCATAGCAAAGGCACGGTTGTAGGAAAGTTCAACATGAGTTTGTGGAATAGCAAGTAATCTGGTCTGGAAAGAGTTTAAGAAAGCAATAGTGGCATAAAAAAGAAGCAGTGAGACAAAAGAATAATGAAGTAATGTGAGAGACAGTTTTCACTGATGCTGAAAATAAAAAAAGGCAATGTTTATTTAAACGTCTTTCTACATTTTTCAAACTGCAGTCAAAAACATTAAACCCAATACTCCTTCATACAAAAATCCCAAAAGTTTTCCAGAAGGACTCAGTTTCCAGCATTGGCAGACAAGTTAAGTGGTCTTGTGAACTCCTTGCAGATAAGAATTATAAAAAACTAGATTAAAAAAACTATTTAAAATCCTGCAAATTTTCCAAAGTAGGGCCGAGCCCGTGGCGCACTCGGGAGAGTGCGGCGCTCCCGCCGCAGGTTCAGATCCTATATAGGGATGACTGGTGCGCTCACTGGCTGAGCGCGGTGCGGCCGGTCTCAAAAAAAGGACCAAAAAAAAAAAAAAAAAAAAAATTCCAAAGTATAGATGGGAATTGGGAGACAGTTTAATTTCAAAAAACTGCAAATGAAAGAAGTATGAATTGTGAATATTTTGGCTTCTTAGCTTGGAGACACTATCCAACTCCCACACACAGCTATGGCAGCAAAACGACAGGAGAAAACTATAGCCTTATCAACAAAACATGACAGATTAGAGTTCAGGGATGGAAAAGCAGCTGGAAATATAAGGGGAAAATACTGGTAGTGAGAGAACCACACAAAGAAACTGACCCAAAGTCTTAATATTAACTATGTAAACACTAGCTGACAGCTAAACTATATATTAGAAAGGAATGAACTATTGATACTGATATTTGCAAAAACAAAAATAAATCTCAAAGCACTACGTTATGTGAAAAGAAGTCAGACACAAAAGACTTGTACTGATATGAAATTCTAGAAAAGACAAAACTATAGTTACAGAAAGCAGATCAGTAGCTGCTACTGCTGGGGTGAGAAGGCAGGGGACTAGCTACAAAGGGGCATGGGACAACGTTTTAGAGTGACAGATATATTCTATAACTTGATTGTGGTGGTGGTCACATAATAATATACATTTGTCAAAATTCAGCAAGTTGTATACTTAAAACTAGTGAATTTTACTGTATGTAAATTATGCCTCAAGTTAAAAAAAACTTAGAGTTTTCAAGAAGGACTTTTATTTCTTATGTAATTTACTAAGAACTGTGTCACTAATCTGGAGCTCCTCCATCATCTTAGATTCTGATATTTCCTCTTCCCACCCTCTACTTTAGAACCATTGTCCAAAACGAGAAATGTCAGTAATGGGTATGTCTCATATGTAATTAATGTGAGGGCAGAAAAAAGGGGCAGAGCAAATGAATCGCTAACCAAAGACAACATCTTTGGGAAAGATGAGACCAGTATTAGAGAAAAAATATCAGTTGCTCTGGAATGGAAGGAAGGAGTAATACAAAGATGCTTCTTAAGGTGCCATATTAAGCAATAGCTATGATCTAAAGAGAACTTTACCCTCAGTCTCTTTGACTCGAATCCTCTATAACTGCACTATCCAATAAGATAGCTACTAATCACATGTGGCTATTGACATTTAAATTAAAATAAATTAAAATTAAGTTAAAAATTAAGTTCTTCAGTCATACTAGCCACATTTCAAGGCCTCAATAGCTCTATGTGGCTAAAGGTCATCATATTGGACAATGTGGAAAATATTTCCACCATGAGATAAAAGTCTGTTGGACAGCATTACCTTATAATTATCAGCTTCAAAATAAACTAAGACATCTTTAAAATGTCATAGAAAAAAATGAAACATGGAAGAATATATAAGACAGTACTTTGGTACCATAAAATGTTTACAGAAGAGTCATAAAATAAGAGAAAGCAGGCTTTAAAGTCACACTGAGTTCAAACTCCAATCTAGCCACTTACTAGTGCAACCTTGGGAAAAATTATTCAATTTCCCACTTTCCATTAAGAAAGTGATGTAAAATAAGCATAATACTTTGTGAAACCAATTTAATAATAGCTGTTTCACAGCTATTTAATAATAGCCTGTTGTAAGAATTAAATGATATATATGAGAAGTAATTAATGTAGTACTCGGCACACAGGTATAAATATTAGTTCTTTAGTTTAATTGTAACTAAACATAATTTTTTGGCATGTTGGCTACCTGATAGCAGCAACTGGCAACTCCTTTTATTTTATGGTTCACCATTTTGGTTAAGATAAATCTATCAAACACCATTTACTTGATTTTGAAAGGATATAAAGTATATGCTCACAAATAAACAATAAATTATTTTCAAAATAAAATGGTATATATATCTACAGTTTAAATGATAAAGGTGTTAATCCTTACCTTAGATGAAATGATCCGGTTATCTATGAATTTCTGAGGTGTATAAAGGCCATTCTGAGGAAACCTGTTGGCTATGTAAATAGTTCTTGTGTCACTTTGATGAGGTGAGTCAAAACCCTAAGACAAGCAAGAGAAAAAGTAATACTGGTCAACAAGGTTAGTTAATATGATACTTTACTGTTGGTTTTATTTAATTGATCAGATTACATACATTATTACTGGCCTTAAGCTTCATATAGACACAACATATTTAATTATTAGGAATTATGCCATCTATTTTTTTCTTTCACAGGTAAATAGGTATATCATCTTCAGATATAAAGTAATATGCTATAATTCCTAGCCTTGAGGAACTCACATTCTGGCCTCAAATTTAGAAGACCATCTCTAAAGATACATTACCTGTAATGGAAAAGTTTTCTCTGGTGACAAGAACACCAAAACTATATTCCTATAATACTGTATTCTCTTCTGGGGTTGCAAGTGAACCTTCAAGACTCCTTTGGCAGATCTTGGGAGCCCCCTGACCAGTCCCTAAATGCAAGACGTTCTTCGGTTCTAACAGGCAAATGATTCAAAATTTGAAATTATATTTTCAGTTTTTTTTATGATGGTCAAAGACTACTTACTAGTACTCCTAAGTTATTAAAAGGTCAATTAAACTTGATATTCACAAACTACAATGATCCATTTTTAGATACTACTAAAGACTCTAATTTAACAATCTACTAAGTAGTTAGATGCTTAGTATGTATTCCTGTGATATTTCCATTAAGCACAGGAATACACAGATAATGGGAATTCACATATTACCTGGAGAAATATTTTGTTTAGTACATCAGAATATTAACAGTATGGTATTTAACTGCTGTTATTTTTGGTTTTAAAATTTTATTTTGTGATTGTAAAAACAGCTAGTACAAGACTGTAGGAATTAAACGCATTTGTATGCTCCATTAAAAAAAATGACATTTAATTTTATTTGCTCATACTATTTAAAGTCCTATGATTTTCAACCCTTCTTTTCCAACACATTGAAATAGTGATGACCACATTTTGTGGATGTGAATGTGCCATTATGTGTCTGATTTCAAAAATCAATCTTTTCAAGGAAAAAATACAGTGGCATGCATATTTATTTTCCTCATAAATTTTCTTTTAAACATTTTACAGTTTTGTAAATAAATGAATGAGTGAACAAATGCACCAAAGAACAAATAGTTTGAATGCCACTGCTTTAGCCTATGGCTGTATTTCTCAAAGGCGGATCACAGGAAGTTAACCTATAAACAGGTAACTGGAGCATTAGACTGCACCAGGCATATTTATTCAGCATCCACTTTGTAACCATGTTAATGTATCCCCCCCATACACTAGTTCCTGCCTCTTAATAGGCTTTCTGCCATCATTCTTTACAGTATCATTCTGCCTTCAGCTCAATTTAACTGATTCAGATGGAAACCTGTTGCAGCATATACAAAATTGATAAAATAAAACTGATGTTAAAAAAAAACTGATGTTATTACTTTTACAGTATCATTCTGCCTTCAGCTCAATTTAACTGATTCAGATGGAAACCTGTTGCAGCATATACAAAATTGATAAAATAAAACTGATGTTAAATAAAAACTGATGTTATTACTTTTCTTTAACACTAAGTTATACATTGTGCATGTAAGCTTCTGTGATAAATTAAAGAAAAAAGAAGTAAATTTGAGGGTCTGAAAGAATAAATCTTTAAGAAGATGTCAAAACATCTGAGACTGAGAACAAATGATACAGAATTTTATTTTAATTTTTGCTAAATTCCCACAAAGGTTGGAATTTACTATTATGTACATCTGAAGTTAAGAGAAAAACCAAAAACCCCAAAATAACAGCAAGAGAACTATAGCAACAACTCAAGTATGACTAGAATTTATATAGAAATGCATGTGATTCCCATAAAGGAAAAATGCTCATTTTTCCCCATTCATCTCTACTGGATGACATCAACCAGTTATCACACACTAAAATTTTGAAACTCCTGAGATTTCTATAATTATTTGAAGGGAATATATTGAAATGTTCTCCAAAAGATCACTTTTGAATTAAACTGATTTTTAATAATTCTATACAGCAGCTCCATATTCCAAGACATCACAATTTAACATAAGATGACAATTCCAAAAGGAAAATGATTACAAGCTTTTCCTCATTCCCAAAGATACTATAGCATCCACTTATGCATTTTAAGATTTTTTTCAGTTGTGATTAATTCACATAATCTCATCCGGTCATACTACAATCAATGGCATGCATGTATGTATTGGTGTACATGTGTATCTTCTTCCACATGGAAAATAGTTAACTTTGATATATATGACTGTAGTATAAATACGACTAAATATCCTTTTGGAAATTAAATCTATAATTTCAATTTATTAGCATCATCATCTTCCGTGAAACAAATTAAACTAGCTACAAACTAAATAAAAATAAAAGTACAAAATTGTCCAAAAATGAAGAAATTTGACTTAGAGCAGGGTCCATAAATGGGCTTCAGGTCTGTGAATCCTGACACTGAAAGCCAATCTATGCATATATGCATTTTTATAATAAGAGTGTGCACAGGTTTCATCAGATTTTCATGATGCAAAGAAGTTTAAAACCATTTAACCAAAAATCTTGCTTTGTAATCAGTTTCCCATCCCCATACTCCACATTTAAAACTGCCTCAAGAGAATCTTTGTTTCAATAGCACCTCTGCCTTCTTTAACAAGAGTCAAAACAAAATCTATTTTGTCAAAACATCTACTACCAAAATTAATTGCATAACTATATTGTTAGTATGAAGTTTGAGTATAGTTTCACAGTATTTTTAGCAAGCATTATCAGCAATTCTATGGCAATGAGGAATATATACAATCCAAACTCACTAGTCACTATGCCAAGGCTACATGCCAGGGTTCAGAAACCTTTGGCACATATTATATTTTCTGTTGTCATCCCATACTGCCCATTCACACCTTCAATCCCTTGATGCTTGCCTGCTCCTTTCTCTTCTGATTTCATCTTGTCCTGGGTAAAGGAATTAAGATAGATTTAATGCTAGTCTAGCCACTCTGATTTTATGTTAATGTCTGCTAAAATGTAGATTGTAGGGAGTGGAGGCACACAAATTCAAATTATTTAAAAACTATCATACTCTAAAAAAGCATGAATTCAAAATGCCTATTTTCTCTTCTGATGATTTGCAAGCATATGTTAAAGCCACTGATACTAAAAAAAAAACCCAAAAGTGGATGAGTATTTAAAGGGGAAAGACAATCTCACGGTGGCAGAAAGGGGAAGAACTGACAATACTGGATTGGTTTGAAACTCCTCTTGTAACCACAAACTGATGAAACCTGGGAATATCAAGCCAGCAAATAGCTATATAATTTTCAGAAGTTGGTCTCTGGCATAAAGCAATACTTGAAAATGAATCACAACATTTTACAATTTCAGGCCAAATAGACCAGTCTCTGCATTACTTTAAAATTCAAAATATTTTATAAAAAATACAAGCATTACAAATAAAACAGCTAAGAAGAGACTAAAACTATAGTCATGGATAATATAATTAAATACTGTCATAACATTAACATAACTAAGAAAACATTGTCTTTGGAGTCCACAGTGATTGCAGTGATTGCACAGTGATTGTGCCTACTACCCTTATTTTTATTTTCATATTTTTGGCAGCTGGCTGGTACAGGGATCAAACCCCGGACCTTGGTATTATCAGCCCCACACTCTAAATAACAGAGCTAAATGGTCAGCCCTCTACCATTCTTACATGTAATCAATTTGCTCCACAATAGAAAAAAAAAAAACTTCAAAATACACAAAACCCCCCCCAAAACAACAATAATGAAAAGAAGCTTTGCAGGCAAAACTGCTAGAGCACTAAGAAATTAAAATAAATGAACATAAGCTTTATTTAGACCATACAATTCACATAACAAAAAGTGACTTTGTTCATTATATGTTTCAGTGTACACAGGCATATGAAAATGGCCTAGCAAAAATAACAGTGCTTCTGGAGAAGAACGATTTAAAGTATTTTACCAAGATCTACACAGTTAAATGTGAATTACTGTTTCCTGAACATAGACTTTCAATAAAATATACCTATATGAAGGTACTATAAGGGCAAGATAATTTGACACTATTAACAGACCAATGTAAGGTGATAGAGACTAACTCAAAACACTAGTGATGTAAGCAAACACAATAACTTAATTTTAACTTTGTTTTATGTTATGTAACTTTCATTTTGGATTTAAGGTAGTTTGCCATTGATCAGATTAGTTTGGGCTTCTAAGAACTCTGGCTTAGTGCAGAGGTGGGTTGGAACTGGCTCTCAAGCTACAGGATATAAAATCTAGAGTGATCTCAGACAAAGATAACTTGAAAATTCTCAAATGATCTGCCAATGCTTAACTGCAGGAAGTCCATCCCTTATAGGTTATGATATAACTTCCCAAACTCGATTTCTTACTCCAACATATACCTCTAAGCAAAAGCCTGCTCATCCTTCTAATTTCAGCTTTCCTCTTCCCCAGAAACAAAGGAAGGCATTTGTTATATATTACTCTATATATTACTCCCACCAAACCTTTTATGCATTCATACTACAGATTTTATTACACTGAATTGTAATTCCTGTCCATCTCCCCCTCTAGACCGTAAGATTCTTAAGGGCAGGGCATGCTTAGAAATCTTACACGAATCAATTATTTAATGAATATTTACTCAGTGGATGAAATTCTCTAATTTTCAGGTTTTGTGTTTGGTTTTAAAATATCTTTAACAATAAATTTCTACCAAATTGAATTTAACTTCAATGTTATTTAAATGGAAGAAAAAATTTTTAAGTGATTTTGTAGACTGAAATCTACCATTACCAGTGAAAGAAGGGCTAGTGGAAAACTTTTTATTCTGGTATTCTTAGCTTTGTCTTATCAAAGCCTTTCACTGTGGCTTTACAACTGATGAGAGTCAGTTCCTGGATCTCAAAGAAATCGACTTCCATTATGGAAGTGCAAGTCAAAACCACAGTGAGATACCACTTCAAACCCATTAAAATAGCTATTACAATAAAAAAAAAAAAAGAAAGAAAATAAGAAGTATTGGCAAGAATGTGGAGAATTTGGGACCCTTGTGCATTGCTGGTGAAAATGTAAAATGGTGCAGCCACTGTGAAAAATG